CCGCGAACGCGAAAATCGGCGCTATAGCGCCGCTATTCTCTGCTATTTACAACACTGCACATCCTATAACGAACTATTTGTGATCATTCTAAATATTTTTAGTAGGAATGCTATTCAAGGCTATAGTTTTCTACGAACTGCTGTTTGCTGCATTTAAAAAAAATCATGCTAGTTGGCCACAGATAGTTTTGGGATCTGGAAAATAAAAAAACGTGATATCCTGAAATTTGATAACATGAACCTGGGGACTATCTTTGATGTAATCAACTGTGTGGCTCAAATGCCATTAGAAACACAGATAGTTAGTGGTTTCCTGCAATATTGGCTGAGACACCACCTGGTTACACATTCAAAATGTTAACCTTGGTTGTTCTTCTCTTTTCCTGTTGTTAGATCTCATAAGGTTCTTGGCTCCTCCAATTTTAACATCAGTGCATTCCTTCTGATTGCCTTCCTCCAGTCTTGCTCTTCCAACTGAGGTTTCTCTCCCTTTGCTGCTCAAACACTTCTTTTTCCAATAAACATGTACCTCAGTGAGAACTGTGAGCAATTCCCTTAGTTTTCTTATAAGCCCCTTTTTATATGCTCTGATACCCATAACTTAAATTTTCTGTTAAGTTTCAGGTAACAGAGTTAATTTTTGTTACAATATGGGGTATCAGAGTTAAGTTTTGTTGAACTTTGGGATACTTTTCCGGAACAAAAACTTAGGGGTATAAATGTTAGAAAATGAGGTAAATTTGGGGGTTTTTTTGGCAAAAAATAAGGTTAATTACAGAAATTCCCCCTTAAACTTTTGGGGAGTTGCAACCTTTGACTTTTTTTATTCCACTAAAGCCCCCTGAACTTTAGGGTTTATTGCACATAACCCTCTTGAACTTATTTATTTCACCAAATCTTACTTAAAAATTTCTCATTTAATCTCCAACTTAGCACCATCGATTCTAACATCTCGTGTGGCAGGCATGTGCCAAAATGAAAATAATCCAAAAACTACTTATTTCCCTTTTAATAAAAGGGTATTTTCACGGACTAAGAAGGAATTTTTTATCTTCCTTTTTTGTCCCGCGCTTGTGCAGTGAAACATTACAGTTGATGGTGCTAATGTGGGGAAGTTTTTTTCTAATTAACCCAAAACATACTTTGAGGTGTTAAAGTTAAAATGAGGTAAACTTTGGGGGTATTTACATTCAAATAACCCTAAATTTTATGATTATATTGCACACAGGTGAATACCTGACCATGGAGGAAGCTAGAAGGCGACAAAAGGTCTACGACGAGCTTGCATCGAACAGCAAATTCTCCCCCGCTCTTCTAGTTGTGAGAGAACACCTTCCATCTGGCAAAGCATGCCTTAGGGTAAACATCGATGCAACTAAGATTGGTAATGTGGCTCGCTTTATTAATCACTCGTGCGATGGTGGCAATTTGTCATCCATTTTGGTGAGGAACTCGGGGTCATTGTTACCAAGGCTTTGCTTCTTTGCTGCTACTGATATCTTTGAAGGTCAAGAACTAACGTTTAGCTACGGAGATGCTAGGCTTAGGCCGAAAGGTCTGCCTTGTTTCTGTGGAACTGATGCTTGTTGTGGCGTGCTGCCTTCTGAAGATACTTGATATCTGTAGATTATAGAAGTTCATCTATAGAAAATCACATAGATAAGCAGAATTTGATGTGTCGCAACACGGATTTTAAAATTCGGCAATTGTACTGATACGATGTTCTCATCGCATTGATATTGTTTGCTGATTCCTCCCTAATGTTGGTCGCTTGGTCTCTTGCTCAGACCCGCGCATATTTGTATGAAAGCTACCTGGTTCAGATGCCACTACAAACCAAGACCATACAACCGCAACTTTTCACAGGTCAACATGAGATTTTTCTTCTTCTCATATGAAGCCTTCCATGCCAGTCTTTACTGTATTCTTCGCCTCAAATCCCTTTTAATGCGCCATACCTTAATTCGGTCCTAATTTGCTGGGATGTTTTGTCTATTTTCTGAAATTGTTCACCGGATTACAATCCCCTGTTCATCTTATTAAGAAAACATCAGCATGGAGAATCCGATCATGCAGTTTCCTTAATATTTTGTTATCTGAATTTTGGTGATATCTACCCAATCAGAAGGGGCAGAATACGAAGGGGTTCAATTACGGGCTGAAAGCAATAACAAGTTATTTTGATGTGCAAACACCTTTTGTTCATCCTCATCCTACGACAATCGCAAGAGTTTCACGATATCTCAAAGCTTCCATGCAGTGAGACTAGGTAAGAAATTCGAGGTGAAAGATCTTGGCTTGCTTCGATAATTTCTTGGAATAGAAATAGCTCGAGGAGCGGAGGGGATTGTCCTCTCTCAAAGGAAGTATGCACTGGATCTTCTCAAAGAAGGGATGTTAGGGTGCAAACCCGCAACTACACCGATCGGCCATAATTTCAAGCTGGGTGCTGAGGCTGGAGAACCAGTTGATCGTGACAGATACCAGAGGTTGGTGGGCAGGTTGATCTATTTGAGTCACACACGTCCCGATATCTCTTTTGCAGTGAGCGTGGTGAGCCGCTACATGCATGATCCGAGGAAGGGTCATATGGACGCAGTGTATCGAATTATGAGGTATTTGAAGAGTGCCCCTGGAAAAGGGCTGATATTCAGGAAGAATGAACATGTGAGCATTGAGGGTTACTGTGACTCTGATTGGGCTAGCTGTGCTGATGACAAGAGGTCCACCTCGGGATACTGCATCTTTATAGGAGGCAACTTGGTCTCGTGGAAGAGCAATAAACAGTCAGTGGTGGCGAGATCAACAGCTGAGGCAGAGTATAGAGCTATGGCCTTGGGAGTTACAGAGTTGTTGTGGCTGAGGAGTATGCTGGTGGAGCTGAAGCTGGATCAAGGAGCCAAGATGAAGCTGTGGTGTGATAACAAGTCAGCCATCAGTATCGCCAACAACCCAGTACAGCATGATAGAACCAAACACACCGAGATCGATAGGTTCTTCATCAAAGAGAAGTTGGACAATGGACTACTAGAGTTAAGTCATGTTCCAACTAAGGACCACGCAGCAGACTGTCTGACTAAGGGACTTAGCTCAGTAGATATGATTATAGGATGTGTCAAGATGGACTTAGTGGATATCTTTCGTCCATCTTGAAGAGGACTGTTGACATATTAATAATATGTAGGAGGTTATTTGTATGTTTGTGTTTATAGGGGCCTATATAAACCCAAGAGATTTCAGTAATAAAATAAGGCTTTTCAATTCAAGAGTTGCTATTGTGGCTAGAACCAAATCAAGTAGTGAGATACTTATATAGTTATAGTTAAATTTGTCTTATAATCTTTGAATTGCATCTCATCCGCTTTTGGGTCGGAATCTCAATCCAAATGCTTCTGTAAATCTTAACGTTTCTCTGAATCCTAAAATACAGTTTCATTTTATTTTATCAAATTACTTTGTGAAGTATTGAATTAAATATTCTCATTTGTTTCTTACGAATTCATTTATCTTTACTGTTTGAGTTCATGTAATACCATATTAATATTAACGGTAACCTAATGAATTTCAATATTTAAAGCAAAAATTATGAAAGAGTTTGTTTGGGGTCGCCGGAGAAATTACTAAAGAGTGAGTTCATTGTAGTATTTGATAATCAAATAAATCGAATACATGATCGAGCACATTTAAGTTGTTTAATAGACAGGACAAGTATAAATGTAATGTAGTGGCTTTAAATAACTAGGCTTAATTGCATAAAAATACCATAAAATTTTTTGTTTTGATAATTAAATACCAAAAGTTGCATTTTGGTAAAGAAAATACCATAAAGTTTCTAAAATTTACATGCTATTGCCATCGATCATGCAAACGTGAAAATTTTTACCTGAAAGTTTTCTGACGATACTCATGTACTAATTTTAGAGCTTTCTAACTATTAATATTCGTTAAAATTTTTATTAGAAAAATATCAACTCAATTTTAAAGTAGAATTAAGATAAATCGCAAAAAAAAATTTAGTTGATTTAATAGAAAATATAATAAATATTATTAGTGAAAAAGCTCGAAAATCAGGATGTAAGTATTATAGAGAAACACTTAGGTGAAAATTTTCATATTTGCATAATCTATGATAGCAATGTGCAAATTAATGAAATTCTACTATACCAAAATACAACTTATGTGTTTAATTGCCAAACTGAAAAACTTCATGGCAATTTTTTTGCAGTTTAGCCAAATAACTATGGAAGGGGCATCATCTAGTTGAGAGATTAATCTAGGGTTAATATTGTAAAGTGGTCTATAGATTCTAATAACAGCTGGAGACGACCAATCTGAGTGCACTCACGTGCCCAGATTCTCTCTCATCTCTGCCAGAAGAATCTGATCCCACGCCTTCCCCTTTTCCTTAGAATTTATACTTTTTTTTATTAATTTGCAAGGTGCGAATGTGCGATGTTTGGTGAATATTCGGTAAATATCAGAAAACCCTCATTAACTTTAGACGACTGTAAAAAATCCCTTAATTTTCAAAAGGATATAAAAAAAATACAGCTTAAATATAAGGATTATCACAATTTTTTAACTTTTAATTTGTAAGGCTGCAATCTATTCTTTACAAAATGCGAATCTTATCTGGGAGCGGTAAGTGATGGGAGTACATACTTGAGGATTGGTAGCTGCTGGTACACATTTCGACTAAATGGTTCTTTGCAATTCCTTTTATTGTGAAATTACTCTTGAATCATTAAAATTGCTATCAAGTCCCTCAATTTTTATTAATTTTGGAGGACCTAATAGTGATTTGGATTATTTGAAGGATTAATTTTGAGATTACTTATAAGAAATGGGGGAAGTAACAAAGAATTTTAGTGATTTGAGAGGCTAATTTCGAAACATTAAAGACTTAAGGGACTAGTTTAAACTAATACTAAATCAAGTGGCAAAAATGGTAAATACTCACACTTATCTTCTATATATAAGTACTTCACGATGCTCTCCTTTCTCACTAGTGGCCAAGCGGCCATTACCTCAACGAGCCGTTTTAGTTCTGTTTCCAAATTGGCAAAATCATCAAATTAAGGAGGCGAAAAATAGGGGGAGATACCGAATAAAAATCCGATCTTTTTGAATAACCCCCTTCGAGATCGATGTCGACGCCATCGAGGAAGAGGCTGATGAGGGATTTCAAGAGGGTACAGAACGATCCGCCGGCGGGAATCAGCGGGGCCCCTCAGGACAATAACATCATGTTATGGAACGCCGTGATCTTTGGGTAATTTCTTGTTAGATTTCGATTCTTTTCCCCCCTTGTTTTAGGGTTTCTGCAGTAGTTTGGGGATTTTCTAATTGGACTCGGTGTTTTATTTGCAGACCTGATGACACTCCTTGGGACGGAGGTGAGTTAATTTGATATATATATGTTTAAACTCGAATTAGAGATGAATTTTCCTCTTCTACGATCATTTTTTTCATACAAACTTGCATATTGTGATTTAGCTTAAAAGATGATTAGTTGATTTCACCTCATAGCTTATGCGAAAGTGGTTCTTTGGGGTTATTTTGTGAAGCATTTATTATAAGAAAAAAAATTTGTGTAGTTTAATTTTGTTTATGTTCGAAGGAATATGATTGTTGGTTTTTCTGGAAAACTATTGTCAACTATGATTCATGATGAAGCTGTATGTGTCCTTCATTAGAAAATAAGAATACAGTTCGATAGTTGTCTTTTGAGGTCACTGATTGTTTCATTAGCAGGATTTTTTTTTTCTGTCTCTTTGACTTTCTAATGTAGTATTTTATCTTATGTTTACTGAGATTGACTGGTTTAAGAATCTCATTTCTGTTACGAGCCGTGTTATTTGTTGAATCGTACTGCATGTCGTGTATTTCTAATGTAAACAAGTAGAAATACTTGTTATATAAGCTGGCTGTCTTGATCACATAGCTAGAATAGCACTTGTTTCCCACTATATCTTGCCAAAAGAGAGATTTCTAGAAACCAGTTGCTAAAACATTATATTGTGGAAATGTCATAAATCTAGCATAGCTTGATTCTTCTGTCGGCTCGCATGTTGAAGCAACAAGGAGAGAAATGAGCTATTATTACTTACAATAGCCTAGTCAGAGACTGCAATATCATGTCGTACGATATGGAGTTTCCCTGTTGCTAAAATATACAAGCAATTTGTACTTCTTTACACTTGCATATTTTGCCATAGAGGTAGTCATGTAAAACAATAAGGAATAATTTCTTCCTGTGGGTTTCCTGGAGCAATTATGTTATTATGTATGATGGAAAGTTTGAGAATAATGTTTGGTTTGGGCACTGAAACTGGAATGGTAGTAATCTATGTCCTACATTGCTTGCTTTTCCCTCACATTCACTCAATTCATTAAAATTTTGGCATCTACAGACTTTGGTTGGTCTTAAAGCTTATGGTACCTAGATACTTCTAATCTGAAGCGGTACCTGTACTGGACAACTTATTTGTACCCAAACTCCTTGGACACTCCTTGCATATATGTATACATTTATTCAGGCATGTACTCAATTATACAGTCCATGTTTTAAATAAAACACCTGTCATACATTTTTTGGACTTATATCCTACACTTTTGATCCACTTCTTGAAGCTCGTTGGACTCGTTGGTCATATGTTAGATTCCAAATTATGATTTTAAGGTTTGTCTGGATGTCTAGTTCAAAATCTAGTGATTTTTCCAATCTATAATCCATATAATAAAAGAAACATAAAAATGCTATAGAAATTTTAATTATCATCGTTGTTCTCATATAAATTATTAGTTCCAATAATAACATATGTGTATAATATATAGATATTTATATAGCCATGTCCTTGTACCTACCTTTTACAAATTTTCTGTGTTCTGCTATGATGCACGGATACGGATACGGGACACGGATACGATACGGTCACGGATACGAGATACAACAAAATCCAAAAAAATAGGATACAGGGATACGACAAGGATTTTTTTAAAATTATTATTATATATAGAAAATTTTATAAAATTCAACTAACAATCTAAAATATGAATCTATCACAAAATAACAATCTAAAATATATTATTTATAACTTTCTCCATCAGATTTATGATAATAATATGATGTTTGGCTGCTGCTCGAACTAAAAAACCGGAGGATATGATGATGACAGTGGTGGTGATTGTGCTGGACGGGGAGGAAGAATGGAGGGTGGACTTGAGGAGTCGGAGGAAGGAGGAGTCGGTCGACGGGATCGGGTCGGAACAACGGAGCGGTCGGCGGGATCGGGTCGAAACAACGAGCGGTCGACGGGACCGGGTCGGAACAATGGAGGTGATCGAATAGAACGTGAGTGAGCTGAGAGATTGAGAGAGAGGATTAGGGTTAGGGGTTTTTTTTCCTTTTGTTTGAGTCAGCTGAGGATCGAATCGAACGGGAGATTTGAGAAATAAGAATGAGTTTTTTAATCAAATGGTTTGGGTTGGATTTTAACAACCAAACCCGCAACCTGCAACCCGAATGAATCGGCCTTCGGCGAATCCGAGCCGTGTCTGAGCTCCTTTGACCTTGTCCAAGCCTAATTTGACCGTTGACCCGTGTCGGACGTACGGATTGACCGTGTCCGACGCGTGTCGTGCACGTGTCGTGACGAATCCGTGTCCGATTCGAGTCGGACACGGATTCTTGGACTCCGGGGGCGAATCCGTGCTTCAGAGGTGTCCTGTACCCATACCCGTAACCATGCAACATAGCTCAAAGCCATTGTTCAGACTTGCATAGGATTCTCCAGTGTCTATGCTAAATGTATCTTTTATACTCCAATTGCAGACTGTAGCAGTCAACTTGGATGTATTAGTCTTATAGAAAAAAATCAGGAATGGGTTAAGATTTTACTTTCAAGGCTCAAGAAAGTAGAGGAAACATTGGTTAAAGCCAAGATGTATGGAAGATAAACAGGAGACTATGGTTCCGTTGGAGAATTTTCGAAAAGGGGTATCATGATAAAAGCCTTCATTTTCTTCGAAGTTTAGTTATTTTTTATTAATAATAAGATATTATATGTGAATATCTAATCCAAATATCTTATTAAGTTTTTGTCGAGGTTGCTGACAGTTTTTTTTCTTGGCTTATTACCTTACCCACGAGATGGACCATTAAGATCTGTATGAACTGATGATATGGCTTGTGTGACGAAGTAATTGGCATGATATCAATTATCAAGATTGAACCATGGGTCTTTGAAGGTCTTAGAGTGAACAAAGAATCCAATCTATTTCTGAAATAAAAATTTTCAACTTTTGACTGCTTTCTGATATACTCGAATTAAATTCTTAGTGACAACTGCTACCGCTAACTCTTTAACTATTGTTCCAATCTCTGAGTCGTCCTTAACAGACAATTTCTGTTGCCTCCTTAGTTTATATCAACTAAAAACATTAATCTACCTCCAAACTCTTCAAGTAGTGTTATACCTAGATCACAAGGATCGACTATTAAATGCTGCAGCTATCAAATATATGACAGCGTAACGGTTTTACCTGAATATCATGGACCAATTCAACTTTTGATTAAAAAAAGCGCAATTACATGATTTGTATTTTTCTTTTTCTTCTTAATAAAAAAAAATTGAATACAACAGAACTCTTCTTCAGATGGATCTTTTAATTTCATTTTTTTCAGAATTTATGCTTAGCCATTGCAATGAATTTTCAGTTTTAGCTTTTTAGTCTCTTCCTTTGCTTCTTTGTGGAATACATTATACTGCTTGCTAGTGTAAGATGCATCTCATTTCATTCTTATAAACAGTCATCTTGCATAGTCTCATAACTTGGCTCTTTTCTTTTACTAGGTACGTTCAAATTGACTCTGCAGTTTACAGAGGACTATCCTAACAAGCCACCCACTGTTCGATTTGTCTCGCGAATGTTTCACCCAAATAGTAAGTTGTGGGATCACATGAGATCCAAGTGTTATTTGCCTTTCATTGCCCATATCGATTATAGCATCGGATTATTGGTAACCGTGAATTTCATCAGCATATACATTTAGGACACGGAGATCAAGTAGAACAGTGTGGATCTTACATTAGAAAAGGTAAAATAGTAGTTCTACATAATTATAGGATTGAATGCTCTCTGGCTATCAATTAATATGTGCATGTGTATATGTGTGTTTTTCAGTATGGATTCTCAAAGTTTCTTTAGCAAGTTTATTATCTTGTGTATACAGGTTCATAACTTCATATATTACGTATTAATTATTAGACAAGTTAGTGGGAGTTTTTCGGGGCATTGATGTTGTTGTACTGTGGTTTTGACAGTCTATGCAGATGGAAGCATTTGCTTGGACATTTTACAAAATCAATGGAGTCCTATTTATGACGTCGCTGCTATATTGACTTCCATTCAGGTACGTCCTCTCAGGGAGACAAAAGGTTAAATAAAGCGGTATCCAACAATTAGAAGCTATATTGTGGTTAGGCTTAGAACATAGGGATTTTTAACCAGTTTGAAGGTGAAAGCCTTTTTTTTGGAAGCATTTGCTTGGACATTTTACAAAATCAATGGAGTCCTATTTATGACGTCGCTGCTATATTGACTTCCATTCAGGTACGTCCTCTCAGGGAGACAAAAGGTTAAATAAAGCGGTATCCAACAATTAGAAGCTATATTGTGGTTAGGCTTAGAACATAGGGATTTTTAACCAGTTTGAAGGTGAAAGCCTTTTTTTATTTAAGGAAAACTATATTACATGTTCGCTAACTCACCAAGTGATTTACAATTTGCATTCCTCTTTGTTTTTCCAGTCCCTTCTCTGTGACCCAAACCCAAACTCCCCTGCAAACTCTGAGGCAGCAAGAATGTTCAGCGAAAACAAGCGCGAGTACAACCGGAGGGTTCGAGAAATAGTAGAACAGAGCTGGACAGCAGACTAAAGAAATCATGCCATGGTCGGTCTTCACGTCCTCCATCTAATGCCATGTAAATTTTCCTGTCAATTTCATTGTATGCACTTTAAACTTGCTGCTCTTGCTGTAGATGACTCTGCTGGCCATATATCTTTGTTGGTGTGAATAAAAAATCAAAGGTGTTTCCAAATGTTGTGTCCTGTTGATTTGGGCGTAAAAAGGTTGTCAACGGGAGTGAATTTATGCAAGTGCAATTTGACGTGCCACGTTGAGAAGCAGGATGTTTCTTGTTACTGGATATAATGTGCGAATTCTGTGGTTCAAGGTTTATCTTTTTGCGTAAGAAAAAATGGATCAATACTTGTCTAGCTTTTTGCATTTGCCAAACGCAAACTTCCCTGTATTAAATTCAGATTTCTAATTTTTCTCAAAAAAAAAAAAATTCAGATTTCTAACTTCTTTTTGATAATTCCGTCTCATTTACTCTTGGTTAGATGTAGTTTAGGTTTTACTCGTTATATTATGTCTCTAGTGTTATATTCAGTTATTTACCTTTCATTTGTTCATGTTTTTGCTTCACCTTTGTTATTGAAAAAAAAAGAAAAGCCCCTTTCAACTTGAAGTGCGAAACCTATATGAAATACTGAAAAAAGGAATTGCTCTCAATCAAATAGCTTATAGAATCAAGAATGCAAGCATTCATAGCCTCAGCATCGTCGAATCTGAAAACATCTCCACCGTTGTAAATTGTTTATTTTGTTTCCAAATAATAATAATAATAATAAGAAAAATTCCTTAAGGACCCAAAATATGGGATCAATAGGGGAGACAAGTGAGCTGTCCCCCTTCTATTGGATAATGAGTTAGCCATCATTAACCTATTGATCCCATATTTTGGGTGCTAATAGCAAAGCTCTAAGGCCGACGACGACGACCTCCGCACCCATTTGATTTATGATCTAGGAGATGAAGGCTTGGACGAGTATTACCCGTCTGAGCCGTTCTATGATCTATGGATGACGCCTCGTTTGCCATCAAAAAGTACTTGTTAATTTTATTTTCCTTTTTTTTGGAAACAAGCACCAAGGCCTCCAGCAATATTTATGATTGATTGTTGTAGTAGTGTTTGTGTTAGATATATGTGCCCTGCAGGTAATTATTGTATATTGTAACAGGACCTATATGTATATAACATCCTTGTTTCAAAATGATAGTATGCTATTTTGGTCAGATTTACCTGATGTTCTAAAAATACAGATAATATTCTTAGAATAAATACTAGACTATCAGACATTTCGGATAGTGATCGTAATGAAGAGATCTGATTAGTCGGTAACGTATATTCTAAAATGTTCCTAGTTGATGAAGTGTTGAGATAGGACATCATCACTTTGGTTTAGACTAGTGTATGCTTTATTTATCCTTTTGAAGGAGATGATCAATCTCTTAGATCATTGATGTGAGACATCAATATACAGTATACAGGTGACTCATTAGTGAATGAGTTGACTGAACGACTCGCCGAGAACATCTAGTTGGTAATATACTTAACTGTCAAATAGAAGTTCTCAAGTGATATAGTACATAGTAGTCTCTTGACTTGATGCATGAGTGCAATATCTTATATGTCAGTAAAGATGTATTTAGACTTTTACCTAACCACATTTCTTATTGAATTGTGCATAACGGTTCTTGTTGGGTACATCCCGAGACATAAGTAGATATTGAGATGCCAAGAAGGGATTCGTCTCTCCCAGTGTAGGGGTTGATGTCATAAGATTGTTTGATATAACTATAGCCTGGAAATCCTTGGCCAAGGTGAATAAGATAAACTGAGTGTCAGTTTGATCTTATAGGTTATGAGTTTAATATCAATAAACACTAATCAAGCTATTAGGGTTTGACAGTTTGCCATACCCTAGGCTCAATAGTTTGACATGGTTTGACGAAGAGACCGGACTGTACGGTATTATCATTGAGTGGTCCTGATAAAATTAGATAAGCATCTTGCAGACCTTTATCACAACTTATACCCAGGTGGTCTTCATGTGTAGCTAGCACCTTTGTTGTACTTATGGATATGATCCACCACCGAGTTTTTTAAGTTGGGCCCTAGAGTCACACCAAGCGCGTACTTGAATCCTATGAAACACAATTTATGGAGTGATGAGTATGATTGATACGCATATATGATTTTTTTCGGATACACATAAACGATTATGTATATCGGTAAAATCGGAATGCTATGTGCTTAGGAAATGAATTTCAGTATTTTTCACATAAAGTTAAATTTTTGGTCAACAGTTGACTTTTTGGTCAACAGTTGACTTTTGGTCAACTCTTGATTTATTTGGTCATATAGTGACTAATTAGTTAAAGATTAGAATAATACTATATACCGTATTTATGAAATACTGTATTAGTAATATTGATTTGATATTTTTATTTATGAAATACACATACCATGTATAGTTTATTAGCACATGGTTTTAAAATGTAATGATTCATAAGATGATTCATTGCATGACTCACTAGATTAATCATTGATATTTGATGATTCATTGCATGACTCATAGGATGAGTCATTCATGTTATGAACACATTTCACTCTATAAATATGAGCTCTCTCTCTTCATGAAAGGCTAATGAAAATTAAATTTCCATAAGAGAAATAAAGAGAGCTATACCTCTTACTAAACTTTAGCAATCTTTGAGTAAGAGGAAGTAGTAGGATTTTAACAACCCCGGGATGGATATCTTGCCTCGCATCTCAAGCAGCATCCAATAGCTTTCGGGTTTACTTGAAGAGTTGGAGATCCACTACGAGGAGCTTTCTGCATCAAAGAGAGCAAGCTAAAGGTTGTTCGATTCACTATCGAATCACGCTACAAAAGTATGACTTTCAAACCTTGTATGCTCACTTAATAATAAGGATCATGTTAGATTTAATTAGATGATCCATATGAATATTTCATGCTCTCTACATGCTTTGTATTTTTTTGTACATACATGTCTTCCGCTGTGTATTATGCATGTAGACATAGCACGATTTCCTTCATGGTATCAAAGCCATAGTTCCATCTAATTGAATCTTAACATGTACATCTAATTCATGGAGGACCTTGTTCTTGCTTCTAATTTCTAGTTTAGATGAAACTAGTTAATTAATTCAAGTTATTTTGTAAAATAATTAATTACAACTAGTGTAGTTGTATGTTAGAAGCTTGTTAGTCATATTTGAGTTTGGATAATCCTTATGCTATCTAGTTTCCAATATGTTGCATAACTAGATAGATGCATATTTCTTAATGTTGATTAAGTTATATGATTTAACATCTTACGTGGATGTTTTGTTTATGGATGGTAGTGGACAACTATTCTCTTGCATGTTTTGTATTGATGTAATAAAGTTAGAAATGTAATAATTATTTACGACATCTTCCCTCCCCGAGCATGGGCTACGCCTACGGGTTTAGGCACTTGCTCATCGATCATGGGCTACGCCTACGGGTATAGACCATTGTTCGGGTGTGGGGGGGTATGGTTGCTTAGTTTAGTTATTTTATTTATAACTTTTGCTTTATATTTAATGCAATATTATTACCCATCCTACGAGATGGTTTTTCCATTATAAATGGAGCTTGCACGTCCTATGTTTATATGATTGTAATAATACATAGTTTGCAAGGGAGAAAGCACCGCAAGGAGTTGCATATGGCTTGCTAAAATATAATTAGTGTAGTTACATTTTATTTTCTTTAGTTGTCCACTACCATTCTATATAAGTTTTACATTACATATGTTGATATGTTGGTTGTGCCCCAAATTGTAGATGTCAATACAATTAGGTGCTATTTTTTTACAAAGTTTATATCTCTATCTCACTAGAGAATAGTTTTTATTATAAAAACTTGTTTTTTAAACTTTGTGAGACATGGCAATAAGAGTTTATTGACCATAGAGTGGTGAGATCGACATTAACATCGCGTTAGTGTGAAAAATAAATAAATCTTAAAAAGTTAAAAGAGATGTATTTAGAACCAACTTTTAGATAGTGTCTAAGGAAAGTGATTATGAGGTATAGCTAATGGGGTGATACCCAACTTAAGATTAGGGGTGATGCCCAATCTTTCGTGCTATAGTCTTAAAGAGAAGTTGTTACTTAATTAAGGTCCGATAAATATTCCCGGTGAATAGCTCGGAACCCTCCCACCAATCTCGCGATTTCCTGGCTAGTTTAATTGTTGCAAGTATAAATATAGAGCATCTTTAAACTATGTCAAGTTCTATTACGGTAAAAGATTTGAGAAATCGTCCGTAGCCCTCCATCATTTTAGTTAAATACTATTAAGTTTATAAATACTATGTTTGTTGGCATACGTCAAGGCATAACTATTCTATGGCTAAATAGTATTCATCTGTATATAAGATATAAGGATAGCTTAAGTTGGTTATGCAACTTTGTTGGCATACGTCAAGAGTTTGCATAAGTTAAATTTAAGCCAGTCAAGAAATGATGGGTACAAACTTGACTAGCATTTTATGATTTGTTGGCATACGTCAAGGTCATAAAAGACTAGGGGTAAAATCATATCAAGAATTACAAGAGTGTAAAAGACAAAAGTTGTCTACCAATTATTGAATGTGTTAATTTGTTGACATACGCCAAGGTTGATGCATTCAATGATAATTGGATCTTGATCCCACTTGAAAACAATGAGTTGTTTTCCGATCACCTATTATAAGGTTTTGAGGGACTCGAAAAATAGTGGGAGGCATAACTTAGATAAAAATAAACCAAATCTATTTTATGTATTGAACATCTGCTAAAATACCTTTTCTCTCTCTTTCAGGCCATTATGTCTGGTTTAAAACTCATATTGGAACAGAACAAGTTAACCGGTCCTAATTATAAAGATTGGTTGAGGAATGTTAAAATTACCCTAACTTATAACAAAATAGCATATGTCCTCACTGCGTCCGAACCTGTTCTAGGCCTAGAACCCACTATAGCGGAAACTGAAATCCGCAATACATAGGATAAAGATTGTTCACTTGCTCAATGCCTCACCATTGCCTCTATGGATTTGGTCCATCAGAGGCAACATGAGAATATGGATATCAGATCCATATTTCATAATATAGAAGAATTGTATGGCGAGCAACTGCGACAAATGAAGTATGCGGCGTCTAGGAATCTGTTCTAGACGAAAATGACTGTGGGATCTTCTGTTGGGGATCATGTCCTAAAAATGATCGCATATGTCAATGAGCTTGAACTTTTGAACGTAGG